GAGGGGTGCCCCACAACCACCTGTGCCACTGCTGTATCTTTGAACCTGAGGGATGCCATGCAACCACACTGCCACTGCTGTATCTTATGTCCGTGAGGGGTGCCACACACCATCCTGTGTTTCTGCTGTATCTTTTGACCTGAGGGGTGCCCCACAACCTCTCTGTGCCACTGCTGTATCTTTGAACCTGAGGGATGTCATGCAACCACCCTGTGCCACTGCTGTATCTTATGTCCTGAGGGGTGCCACACAACCATCCTGTGTTTCTGCTGTATCTTTTGACCTGAGGGGTGCCCCCACAACCTCTCTGTGCCACTGCTGTATCTTATGACCTGAGGGGTGCCACGCAACCATCCTGTGCCACTGCTGTATCTTTGAACTTGAGGGATGCCAAGCAAACCACCCTGTGCCACTGCTGTATCTTATGACCTGAGGGGTGCCCCACAACCACCCTGTGCCACTGCTGTATCTTTGAACCTGAGGGATGTCATGCAACCACCCTGTGCCACTGCTGTATTTTATGACCTGAGGGGTGCCATGCAACCATCCTGTGCCACTGCTGTATCTTTGAACCTGAGGGATGCCACGCAACCACCCTGTGCCACTGCTGTATCTTTGAACCTGAGGGATGCCCCACGCAACCACCCTGTGCCACTGCTGTATCTTATGAATCCTGAGGAGTGCCACGCAACCATCATGTGCCACTGCTGTATTTTTGAACCTGCAGAATTCCCTGCAGCCATCCTGTGATTCTATAGTATCTTCGGACCTGAGGGATGCCTGCAACCACTCTGTGCCTCTGGTGTACCTATGTACCTGTGGGATGCCCCACAACCACCCTGTGCCACTGCTGTATCTTTGAACCTGAGGGATGCCATGCAACCACCCTGTGCCACTGCTGTATCTTATGACCTGAGGGGTGCCACGCAACCATCCTGTCCCACTGCTGTATCTTTGAACCTGAGGGATGCCACGCAACCACCCTGTGCCACTGCTATATCTTTGAACCTGAGGGATGCCATGCAACCACCCTGTGCCTCTATAGTATCTTCGGACCTGAGGGATGCCTGCAATCATCCTGTGCCTCTGCTGTATTTATATACCTGCAGGATTTCCTGCAACCATCCTGTTCCTCTGCTGTATCTTTGGACCTGAGGGATGCCTGCAATCACCTTGTGCCTCTGCTGTATCTTTGGACCTGAGGGATGCCATGCAATCACCCTGTGCCTCTGCTGTATCTCAGGACCTGAGGAATGCCCCCAACCTCCCTGTGCCCTTGTTGTATGTTAAAACCGGGGGGGGGGGGTGCCCTGCAACCATCCCATCCCTCTGCTATATCTTTGTACCTGTGGGATGCCACACAACCACCCTGTACCTCTGCTGTATCTTTTGTCCTGAGGGATACCACACAACCATCCTGTGCATCTACTGTATCTATGTACCTGTGGGATGCCCCACAACCACCCTGTACCACTGCTGTATATTTGGACTGAGGGATGCCACGCAACCAGCCTGTGCCACTGCTATATCTCTGGACTTGACGAATGCCACGCAACCACCATATGCCTCTGCTCTATCTTAGAGCCTAGGGGATGCACTGCTTTAGCTTAGGACCTCAGTGATGCCTCAAAACTAACCTATCCTTCGGCTCTATCTTTGGACCTGAGCGATGCCCTGTATGCCCTTGTACTATGATCCAGTACTATACTAGACTGACATGATGTACTTCATTTATGAACCAGTATTATACTAGACTGCCATGGTGTACTTCATTTATAAAACAGTATTGTACTGGACTGATATGGTGTACTTCATTTATAAAACAGTATTGTACTGGACTGACATGGTGTACTTAATTTATGGACCAGTATTATACTGGACTGACATGGTGTACTTTATTATAAACAGTATTGTACTGACTG